GATATATCTCGAAAAGTAACAAAGCAATCGGTACTTACAAAAAATCAGTCGATAGGTCTTTTTAAAACCTACAACTTTCTCTTTTAAAATTTTTCGATCGGTGCTATATTTTTTTAGTTATTTTAGAAAAACCATTTTTGCAACTTTGCGATTTTTTTAACCATGTTCGCCATTTTGGATCGAGTTTAAAGAACAAGAAACTCGATTTAAAATTTAATTTTCTATACGGTCATTTTTTTTTGTCCAGGTAATAATTTCTGTAAGCATTTCTCTATAATGCTTGGACTAAATACTTGTAGCCTAAGAGCTGGCGTGATTTTTTCCCATCATTTGTACCAAAAGATAAGCACATTAATGTTGAAATAGGTTTAAAGTGAACAAATATCGCTACGTTTGGCCGGAGGCGGCTACTCAAACTTGTTTTTTTTTTCAAAAACTCCTTGATTTGTACCACCTGCAGACTATGAAATTTGGCTTTAGGAATACAATTTGACCACAAAAGTGAAATTACAGACAAAAAAGTCGGAGCGTTTCTTAATTACAGCCAATAAAAGGGCTCCGTCTCCGTCGTGAACATCGTAGCGGTCTGTGAGAGCAAGCGAGATGGGTTCAGGCTAGCAAACGCACAAGGGACGGAGAATGATATATTATTCCTACATTGCACGCATGTTTAGTGGCTCTGTACATAGATTTGTAAGAAAATAAATATAAGCAAACATATATTTTATTGAAACTTAACATTCAGTAATAAGAAAACTAACCATTATACACTTTGAAATAAAAAATATGAAAATTTTACTTATACTATTACGAGAGCCATACTTCCAGCGTAAGCATGTGTATTTTTTTCTAAACATTGTTTATTTTAGCAAACCTGCATGTCGGCCTAATAAAGTTTTTTATTTTCGTGGTATTCAAAAAAAACGTGGCGGAAGATTAACGAGCATGCGTTGTATTGCTTAACATTTTAATTTACATTTTTGATAAAATATTAAATCAAATGTAGAGCTTCCTTATATACAGAGTATCTCATAATTAGTGTCCAATAATTTATCACTTGATTACCTATATAGCCAAAAATAAGAGTATGTTTTCAAATAAACATGGGTCGAGAGATGCTTCCTAAGGGATCTACGCTCCCTAAATGGGGGCCTCAAAAAATTAATTTTTTTAAATATTTTCGAAACGGGTTCAAGGAAAATTATAAATTTTGACATAATTGACGCTCATTAAAAGATCATCATAAAATTTTAATCGTCGGCTAAAATTTGCCTCTATTTTTTTACTTGTCGAAATTTTCAAGTTCAAGTTTTCATGCCAACATATGATAGATATTCATATCCTTTATAAAAGAGGTACTCTTTAGTTCTTTGGATAAAATGCTCCATTTCCAAGAAAAACGAATTTAAGCAATTTATTACGTTACCTTAATAAAATTCAAAAAATTTGTTTTGAGTGGCTAAAATGGGCACATGTACCATTATGAATTTTCATATGTCATCATATCAATATACATTGTAATAAACAACGTGAAAAGTGCTTTGAAAACTTTGTTATGGGCCGTCCCGAGCAAGAGGAGGGGGAGAATCGGTTCAAATTTTTGCATGCATTTGTTGCTATAAAATTTGATTGATCTGAGTTTTCTATGAAAAAATGGTGATGTTGTTTTGATCTGAATTTGAAAATTTGGGCAAACAAAAGAATAGTGGCAAATTTTAGCCGACGACCCCCCCCCAATTGAGATGATTAAAATTTTTGAAAAATTTTATGATAATCTATTTCGACTTTTAAGAGCATTCATGGTATCAACATTCATAACTTTCCTTCAACCCATTTCGAAAATATTAAAAAAAAATTTTTTTTTGAGGCCCTATTTAGGGGGTGTAGCTCCCTTAGGAAACATCTCTCTACACATGTTTATTTGAAAAAATATTCTTATTTTTCGCAATATAATCAAGTGGTAAATTATTGGACACTAATTTTGAGACACCCTGTATATAAGAAAACTACATTTGATTTAATATTTTATCAAAAATGTTAAATATAATGTTAAGCAAATTAGTATACAACGCACGCTTGTTAATCTGCCGCCAAAAAAGTACGAAATACTGATGCTATACAATCGTTATTAATTAGGCATATAATTAAGCAGTTATAGTAAAACCAAAAATAACTGTAAAAAAAATCTAACTGGTATAATCAAATTTACAAAATATTGTTAATTAGTAAGTCATCATTTCATTTGTTCACAGCGTATTTGCCTCCAGTTCCTCCTTGACCTACATTAATAATAAGTAGGTACCTATTCTGTCATAAAAACATGCCCTTTATTTAAACACATCTAAAAACACTTTATCAGAGGCATGCCGGCGAATTGTACTATACACCTGCACTTTCCGTATTCCACCGTACCACATATTGTTAGTAATATGTGACCGTACCTATTTCATCGTGACGATGCGAGAACGAATCATTTGCTTTAAAATGTGTTGTAAATTGTAAAGTATCTACATAAATCAATCACTTTTTAAACAGAGGCTAATTATAAACAATTCGTTTAAAAACTAATAAAACACGAACAGAAAAATTAAATTGTAAAAAATATTTTTAGGGGAACTCATTTGGCTTGCTTCTCAAGAAAAATGTAATAATAACTTGAAGTCACTCTTCAACAAACAACAGTAATTATTACATACAAAATTCTGTATTCAGAATTATGGTTTCTAAAATTATACTGGATCTAATAACTAGTAAAACATACAATAATCAATTTGTGAAAAATATCTTAAAGAAATCTTAGGGAGACACTGACTCCCCCGCTTCTAAAAAAAACTGCCACTGTGTAGTAAATTTTAATTATCTTATCACGCTCCATTTTAGTTTAGACAGTCTGACTGATACCGAATGGCATTTGCCTAATTCTTTCTTCTCTAGTAATTATATTATCGATTATATTATCTGGACTATTATCAAAATATGTGTATTAAGTACTATAATTTATTTGTGTTTATAGCTCTTTTACTATTAGACTAATTATTAATTGTCAGAATTAAAATTTTTTAACTTACTAGTATTTAACAGTATTTGTAAGAACTCGGAATAACAGTTTTATTATTATGATTATTTTACATGCAAAGCTTAATATTCCCATTCAAACAAGCACTGCCATCACATTCTTTTATATTATCTAAAATCAGCGCAAATACAACTCAAACATATTGAAGTTAGTCCGGCTCTGGTTCAGCAAAAAATACCTTAGAACGACAACTGTGACTATCGCCCTCTTTTCGATAGTGTCTAAACTATAGAAAAGTTGAAATACGAAGGATTTCTTCAATTGCTCGGCATGAAAAGATGACGGATAATATAAAATATCAGAACACGTACCTTTCCTGTTTTGTCCAATTGATTTATAAAACTACTCAATAATTCTTATTAATTCATGTATAAATAGTATCCTAAAAGCATTCTGCTGGGTGTGGGTATGTTTATAATACCGTACGCTTTTATCTGTATGTTCAACAGTCGTGTAAAGTTCAGGAAACGTAAGATAAAAAAATATGTTTTTTTTTTCTTACTTAAAATGTGTTGTCAGTTATCTCACACCCTGAAGAACACTTGTATGAGTAGTACAGTGAAGAGATATCGTTTCTAACTTGCTTAGATTTTTTAAACAATTGGACAAAAAATTCATTGAAAATTGCGCATAAAAACGCCCCCCTTAACTGTCCCACACTGTTGCTGTGCTGAATGCTATGCTGTGCTTTACTCTACCACTCTTCTTCTCTTCAATACTTGCTCTTTCCTTGGTATTTTATGGGATTCTTTTTTTTATCTTCAGTATTTTTTTACAATTCTTTTGATTTTCAACTTATTCTAATGGCTGCAATTTTAATATCTTCCAATTTGACTTTTCCTTTCTTAATTCTCTCACTATTTATTTTTCGTCTCCTATATAACCTCTTTTTTTTATCCTTTCACCGCACTCTTATCTCTACTTACAATAATTTTGGATATATTGTATTTAATCTCAACCAATCATATACCTTTATTAATTTATACAATTTTACTTTACCAAATTTAATACATTTTTATTCATTTTTAACTACATTGCTTTCTTTTATAGACACTTTTGATTCCTTTATACAGATATTTCATTTTACTTTTACTATTATAAATTTCATCCCGCTGTCAACTAAATCATCTTTACTATCTTGTCACCATCTATCTAACATGTCATTATTTATTGTATTTCAATTTCTACTTGTTACATTATATAATATGTGTAAAAACGGTACCGCTGTTGTATCACTACAATTATGGGTACAAAGGTGACATTTTTGAAATTTATTTGCTACTTTGATTCATTGGTAGAACTGATTCATGCGTCAAAAAATTGACAAAGTCTGTAGCAGTGTAAAGCCACACTGTTTACCAATAAATTCGTGAATTAATTCATGAAGAACTTCGTCAATTTATTCATCAATAAATTGTCAATGTAAAACACTTATAAACAGTGTGGTTTTACATTGCTACAGACTTTGTCAAGTTTTTTGACGTATGAATCAGTTCCACCAATGAATCAAAGAAGCAAATAAATTTAAAAAATGTCACCTTTACACTCATAATTGTATTAATACAACAGCGGTACCGTTCTGACACATATTATATAAATATTAGTTTTTGTAAGTAACAAATCAGTAAAAACAATGCAAAACTAGTACGACGCCACACAATTATTTACATATTCCAATAACATAACCTCATTACTGATCTGAGGCTGGAAATCTGTTGGGTTGGTACTTCCGAACTTCACGAAGAAATTGACGAAAATTAGAACATGCTCTAATTCGTCAAGAACTTGATGAATAAATTCATGAAGTTATTTGACAGCAGATTTGGTCATTACACTTGTCCAATTTCTTGATGAAGCGACTGAATTAATTAATTAATAAATTGTCAATGTAAAACAGCTATTAGTTTGTTTGTATAAATATTAGGTCCAAGACATCGACAGAGGTTTTTGTGCGAGGTTCGGGTCGATGGCTACAACTATGTCGGCTTTGGAAATTCCACCAACAAGAAGGCCGCCCAAAGCAACGCCACGAAGGATTTTGTTTCTTTTTTGGTACGGCAAGGACTTGTGAACAAGAATGAAGTCCCTGTGGATAGTGACGCTGCCCCTACAGCCGCCATTCACCGTAAGTAAATTAAATTTCAAAATATTGCCAATTTCTTTATCTTAAAAATTTTAGATGGACTTCAGGGAACCATGGACAGTGGGCCCCAGCATTCAGTTTTCGGTCAGGGCATGGGTCCTTCTTGTTTCGGAGAGGCATATCGTCCCCGAGGCAGAGAAGATGGCAACTGGCACTATATGGACAGGGCCCAAGAACAAAAAAAGATCGAGGAAGCTGAAGATTTGTATGTTAATGCGCAAATTCACGGCAACTGGACTGTGGAAAATGCCAAGTCGAAGTTGCACCAGTATATGCAATCTAACAAAATTCATGCCGATTATAAGTACACGCAAGTTGGTCCCGATCATTCCAGGTTAGTTGAACGATTGATTATTTGATAGAGTCATGGATTTTAGTTTCGTTTTTTTTATGGTGGGTTCATTTATTGATACAATTTGCAAGGAAGATATGGCTCCACCGAACGAATTCTGTGGACCTGTGAATTTTTTACAATTTGTGGAAAATATTTGACTAGAGACTTGACGGAAACTGAATCGAGAGTAGAAGGTTTTTATTTTATTGCAACAATAATAATAATAATAATAATAAAGTTTATTCCTTCTAAAAAATAATACAGTTTTTGTAGGAAGAGGCTCTGCACTATGTATATATAACAAAACAGAACGGCTTACATACATAAAAAAAAACAAATCGCCAGGAACAATATTTAAGCATGAATACATTATGCCAACTGCAAACATATTAAATTAAGAACAGTTCACTCATTTAGAACAAAAGAACGAAGTCTCAAAAAATCTCTCGTAAAACCTGCCAACATTCTGGCATTACTCAAGAGTTAAACCATCAAGCATAATGATAAACGAGTTAAGTGTTAAATTTCTGAGTTCTGGAGGTCTTAGACCGGAATAAAGAGGGCATTCTATAAAAATATGCTCAACAGTTTCCAGTCTGTGTTGGTTGCATAATGTACATAATTCAGATGGATTGATAAAGTAGGAGATGCCATTAAATGTAAACTTCATGCAAAATTTATTACAAAGACGGAGTTGTGAGATAAGTCTAATAATATTTTATTGCAACAACATAATTTTTATGACGGAGTTCTGGGGTTGTAATATTTTTTGACGTATGTAGAAAACCCCCAGAAATGAGGTTTTTTAAATAAAAATTTGTCTACACATCGGAAGTTTTAGTACTTCCGGTAAAAATAAGTTACGAAACTTTGTAGAAGTGAGATATATAGTTCATTTTCGCATATAATTAAAATTGTAGGTTCACCACATAAAAAAGTGTAATGTAGTTAATAAATAAAAATTATAAATAAATTTGAACAATTTTTTCTGCTGTATGAATATTTGAAATGAACTATGCTTGCCTGTTGATTTTAACGTTAACAATGATACCGATTAGAAGTTGTATTAATTATTTGGTCTAGATTTATGTTTCCGTACAGGTTTCTATGGCAAACGAGTACACGTTGTTAGTAACTTGCACCCGGACTCATTCCTGCGAAATATCGGCACTAATACATTTCTCTCCACTGTTAGGACTTTCATCGCGGAGATTAAGTTCTTCGTCAAACAGTTAGGCCGAACCATTTACGGCCGTGACAGCGGCTCTGACAAACAGTCGGCGAGCAAGAGCTGCGCCTTGTCGGTGGTGAGGCAGCTGTTCCATCTTGGGGTTATCGAGGCTTTTTCAGGTAAGTGAAACTTAAATAGATCTGAAAACAATTGGAAGAAGTACCCTCTCGCTGCCAGCGAACCGCTTTGATGTTTAATGTTTAAAGTACCATGGTTTTTTGGGTTGTTGTGCCGTTGCCTGTGTACCTGATCGCTGTCAGTTACAGAATCACCTTTCATTTCCTTCCCTTAGTTAGGAGTCTTTGGCGTGCCCTGTTGTTCTCGGGTTAGGCTCTGTGGGGATGGATCCGATATTGAGCAAATTTTCCATAATTACTGTATATTTTCAACTTTCTAATTACTAATGAACTTTTAATAAACTTTTTCCGAAAACTGTCGTCAAAAGTTGACATTTTCGTTAAATTTTCAGTTGACAAAGGCGCTTCTTGTAAAAATCTCTCAATTTCCTCTTTCGTTAGAATTCTGAACTTTTTTCGAATGGTATCCAAATGATTCGCTTTTGAAATATGATATTAGTTTTGGAAATTTTCTGATATTTACACTTTGGCGTTCAGTATACTTTTTAACATGGAATAGCGACCATGGCGTTGAAGGTTTAATTTTATTAATTTTATGTTCAAAATGTGCCATTCAGATACTTTTTGAATTTTCTTAGAACAGGCAATCTCGTACTGTGTCGATGATTTATTGGGGATTAATTGTAACTGGTAAATGCTCGTCTTCACTTTCCGAACATATTTTGAATTAAACACTATTAGAATATGATTTAAAATACCGGGTGCGGCATTTACCTTGAGACAAAATAATATCTCGCTTGGACTCGATTATTTCGAAAAAGGTTTCAGCAAAAATTGTAGTGCGTCAAGGGGGCCATTGAAAGGTCTAGACCGGAAGTTAATTTTTTTTTAATGGAAACACCCATTTTATACCAAGGATTTCGATTGAAAAACTAAGAAAAATTACGTTTTATTATATTTTCAATATAACCCATATTTTGGCCATAGAATGACCATAAAAAACCAAGAATCTTGAGACAATGGAGTACCTTGTTGGGATCACTTTAAAAAATAATGTTTCATACAAAAGTAGTAGGGTGACCTTGACTTCAAGGTCGTTTGAACATCAAATTCAAAATTTTAAATGGGACTCTTTTTGACCTCGAAAATTACAAGAGCGATAAGTTTTACAATAAGATATGAACTTAACCTCCGAAGATCAGATATCAAGGACATTTTAAGGTCCAAAAACAATGCTATACTACTACTGTACTATAATAATCATTATACAGTTTTTCGACCTTAAAATGATCTTGATATCTGATGTTATTCTTGAGGTTAAGTTCATATCTTACTGTAAAACTACCCGCTCTTATAATTTTTGAGGTCAAAAAAAGAGGGTCCCGTTTAAAATTTTGAATTTGATCTTCAAACGACCTTGAAGTGAAGGTCATGTCAAGATAGTCCCCTTTTCACCTTACAACATTTGTATGAAACATTTATAAACAAAAAGTGATCCCAGCAAGATACTCCGTTGTCTCAAGATTCTTGTTTTTTTTTTGTATTTTATAGCCAAAATATGGGTTAAATCGAATAAATAAAAAGAAAACGTTTTGTTTTTATTTTCCAATGGAAATCCGTTGAAAAAAATGGGTGTTTCCATTAAAAAAGATACACTTCCGGTCTAAAAACACCACTTCCGAGGGTCCCGTTTAGAATTTTGAATTTGATATTCAAACGACCTTGAAGTCAAGGTCATGTCAAGATCGTCCCCCTTTTCACCTTATAACTTTTGTATAAAACATCAAAAAAAAGTGATCCCAACAAGGTACAAGGTGGTTGTCTTAAGATTCTTGTTTTTTTTGTATTATATTACATTGCCAAAATTTGGATTAAATCGGATAAATAAAAGGAAAGTTTTTTTTTTGTTTTTCAATGGAAATCCATTTCCATTTAAAAAAATCAACTTCCGGTCTAAAAACACCACTTCCGATCTAGACCGGAAGTCGTAATATAGACCTTTCAATGGCCCCATGGGTGCCCTACAATTTTTGTCTGAAACTTTTTTCGAAATAATCGAGTCCAACCGAGATATTATTTTGTCTCAAGATAAATGCTCCACCCGGTATATAATTCTCAGACTACTTTTTCAAACAACTAATTTTTAATGTTTATTATGTTGCTATCGTTATGCTAGTCACCACGCCTAAACCGTCTTGTTTCAAACATGGCTCAAACAATTTCCAATATACAGGGTGTTTGTAAATAAGTGCGAAATTTTAGGGTGAGGTTGCCGAAGTTATTTTGTAAAAAAAACTTCATATAAATGTATGTCGAAATATGCTTCGTTTCTGAGATACAGTGTTTAAATTTTAATTTTTTATTTATTTCTATTAATTATTTCAGGGGTTTAAAGATGACTCGAAATTTGATGGTTGTGTTTTATTTAGGAATATTGACAGCAACCTACTAGATAATGCATCAATAGAAATTAAAAATACACAACTTGCAATAAAATACTTTTTATTTTTTCCTCAAAAAACGGTGCATCCTACGAAAAAAATTGAAGAAACCAATTTCGTTCAGAATTGATGGCGGATTTCTAAAAAAATATCAAAACGGGAAAAGTCAGTGACTTACCATTTTTTTTATTAAAAAGGTTGTGGCATTCACGCATGATTGCCACTGGTGCAAGTAGAAATATTCGGATCACCCCAAAAAATTCACATTTGTCCCACCAAAGCGTTTTTCAAATTTCGAGCCAATTTTTTAAAACTGAAATAATTAATAAAAATAAATTAAAATTTAATATTTTGACCTACGTTTATATGAACTTTGTTTCACAACTTCGAGAACCACCCCCTAAAATATTTTGCACTTATTTACAAACACGCTGTCAACTACATTGTTGTATATAACACAATTGTCTTATTTGATTGCAGTTTTTGGAAAAATATTGTTTGCGTTTCGAACGCAATAGTACCATTTCGCGCCCCAGATACAAAAGTAACTATTAATTTCTGATTGCAATACCTGTTATATTACGTATCTGTTGTCTCTTGATTATTAGTTTTTTTGTTAAATTTTATCGTCTTGTATTATCCAATTATTTACCAGGGAAGTCTAGAAATTTTAATTAAACCGGATGTTAGAGAAGTGTGCGTGTCAAAAATAATACACAACCAACATCACGTTCCAGGCATGTTGAAGAAGGAGAAATCGGCCCCGGAAATGCCCCCGTTCAAGGTCAAAATTTCCCCGCTACTAATCACCCAAGTCGAAGAGTGTTTGCAAGAGTTGAACATCACGCCCACCCCGGTGACTTCCGAACAACCCGACCAGGTGGTGTCGCTCCTGAGCAGCCACTTACTGGACGACTTCCACCCCGCCAAACCGACGAAGGCCTGCGTCGTGCCGTGGTCCCCGCCCCAGACCAACTGTAATTGCTGGACGGGCTGTTACATCGACGAGGGGTACCTCGCCACCGCGACGGAGGATATGAGCGAGAAGATGCTCACCGAGGCTAAGGAGAGGTTGAAATGGAATCCCGACGTAAAGAAGAACATGGCGGAAAGGGAGAAACTGCCCGTTTACAGCATGAAGGGAACCATTATGGAGGCCATTAACGAGCATCCTGTTATTATTATCAGGGGAGACAGCGGTTGCGGTAAGTGTTTGACAAAGCATTATTATTTCTGGTGTTCCTGAAGGTTCAAATCTTGGGCTAGCTTTGTTCTTAATTTTAATTCTAGGAACGCCATCTATTGAAAACAGCGAGAACTATTATCAAAACTCGAATATTTAAGTCGATTTGCGTTATGATAAAATTGTTACATTTTTACGCTTCGCAGGTAAGACGACCCAAGTCTGCCAGTTCATCTTGGAAGACTACGTCATGTCCGGCCAGGGCGCCTGGTGCAACATCGCCGTGACCCAACCGAGTTGCATCGCGGCCATGTCTGTCTCCGAACGTGTAGCCAACGAAAGGTGTGAGGAGCTCGGACAGAGCATCGGCTACTCGGTGCGTTTCGAGTCGATGCTGCCCAAACCATACGGTTCCATCATGTTCTGCACGGTGGGCGTTCTTGTGAAGAAGCTGGAAAACGGGCTGAAGGGAGTGAGCCACGTGATCGTAGACGAGATCCACGAGCGAGACGTCAACAGCGACTTCATCATGGTCGTTCTGAGAGACATGATCCACACCTATCCGGATCTCAGGGTCATACTTATGTCCACCACGATCAACACCACCCTTTTCTCCAAGTACTTCAATAATTGTCCGGTTATCGAGATTCCCGGCAGGGCTTTTCCCGTGCAGCAGTACTTCCTGGAGGACGCCATCGAACTGACGAAGTTTGTTCCTTCGACCTATACCAGGAGACGTAAGAGTAAGAGCAAGGACGACGAGGGCAACAGTGGTGATGAGGGCGACGAAAATCTAAATAAGGTAAATGTTGAATAATTTCGTTGCCACGAACGAACGAAACTCTCCCTTCTTCCAGGTTGTGACAGGATATTACACCGAAGTGACGAGGAACGTCATGGCCTGGATGAATGAAAAAGAGGTGAGCTTTGAGCTCTTGGAAGCCCTGCTGCATTACATTAAGGGTCTGGGGATACCGGGCGCGGTGCTCGTGTTTCTTCCCGGTTGGAATGTCATCTTCGCCATGATGAAGCACCTGCAGCAGCATCTCGTGTTCGGCAGCACCTCATACTGCATCCTGCCGTTGCACTCTCGGATCCCCAGGAAAGACCAGCGGAGGGTCTTCCAGTCAGTCCCGGACCACGTCACCAAAGTAAGTATCGGCCAGAGCGAATCATGTTTAGGAAATCTAATTACCTGCTTATTATCTTTCAGGTGATCTTGGCGACAAACATTGCGGAATCGTCCATCACGATTAACGACGTTGTGTTCGTCATCGACAGCTGCAAGGCCAAGATGAAGATGTTCACGTCGCACAACAACATGACCAGCTACGCCACCGTCTGGGCCTCCAAGACCAACCTGGAGCAGAGGAAGGGACGGGCGGGTCGCGTCCGTTCCGGCTTCTGCTTCCACCTGTGCTCCAAGGCGAGATTTGACAAGCTGGAGGAGCGCATGATGCCGGAGATGTTCCGGATGCCCCTGCACGAGCTCGCCCTCAGCATCAAACTGCTGCGGCTCGGCTCCATTGGGCACTTCCTCAGCAAGGCGATCGAACCGCCGCCGTTGGACGCCGTCATCGAGGCAGAGGTGCTGTTGAGGGAGATGAAATGTCTGGATCAGAACGACGAGCTGACGCCATTGGGCAGGATCATAGCCAAGCTGCCGATCGAACCCAGGATGAGCAAGATGATGGTGCTGGGGTGTATATTCATGTGTGGCGGCCCCCTCGCCACCATGGCCGCTAATTCTTCAACGTTTCCGGAGATTTTCACCTTGGATATCGCACAGAGGAGGCTCAGCCACCACCAGAAGGCGCTGGCTGGGAACAGGCATTCCGACCACTTGGCCATGCTGATGGCGTTTCAGGTGAGGATTTGTTGATACTAAAAAAAAAAAATTACAGGATCGGCGCGTTTGGAACAGGATCGGATTCTGCTTAAATTTAAACTTCACAATTTAATTTTGTTAGTGTTTTGTTTATTGTACATTCATTTTATAACTTTTTAATATTACCTGTTATTAACTTTGTTAAATGCATCCTTGATAGTTCAGTTTGATACTAAATTAAAAAAAAATCTCTTAACCGAAGGTTAAGTAATATTAAACAATTTTGAGGTGGTATAACTGACGGTAGTTCTGCCTTTAAAGTTGTGGGACCAGGCGAGGCAGGGTGGCGAGGATGCCGAACTCCGTTTCTGCGACTTCAAGGGCATCAGCATGCCCGCCATGAGGGTGACGTGGGAGGCCACGCACCAGCTGCAACAGATCTTGAACAACGTCGGCTTCCCGAAGGAAACCCTGGCCCCCATTCCCATGGAAACGGTCTGGCCCGATCCCAGACTGGACGTGGTCATGTCCCTCATGTGCTACGGCCTGTACCCCAACGTGTGCTACCACAAAGAGAAGAGAAAAGTGAGTATACTCGGTTTCAAAGCGTACGACTCTCGCTTTCACGGGATCGTTCTCTCCTTTTCAGGTGTTGACGACGGAAAGCAAAGCCGCCCACATCCAGAAGACCTCGGTGAATTGCAGCAACCAGGACCAGGGCTTCCCCTACCCGTTCTTTGTGTTTGGCGAGAAGATCCGCAGCCGGTCCGTGTCTTGCAAGCAGATGACCATGGTGACGCCGCTACACCTCCTTCTGTTCGGTTCGAGGAAGGTGGATTGGGTGGACGGCGTCGTCCGGTTGGATAACTGGATAAATTTGAATATGGACCCGGAGGTGGCGTCGATGATCGTTGCCTTGAGGCCGGCACTCGAGAGCCTCATCATCAGGACGTCCCAGGAGCCCGAGCGGATCTTGGAGATGGGACCGACGGACTTGAAAGTAAGCGTCTTGAGTGTTTTTAATTTTTGTTTGTCAACGAACCGTTCCCTTTTAGGTGGTATCGACGATAAAGGAGCTCTGCAAGTTGCACGCGGGCAGTTTCGGGCTCCAGAGGGCGAAGGGTAGCTTGCTGGCTTCCAAAAGGCCGTCCAGGGGGCACAACACCGGCGGCTACAACAGTGGTTATGGCGGGGGTAACAGCGGAGGCAGGTATAACAATGGAGGTGGATATAGTAACGGAAGATTTGGTGGAGGAAGGGGTAGTTTCCGAGGGGGTTACAATGGTGGATTCAGGGGAGATTATTAGAATTTATGTAGTTATTAGGAAAAGCTCTGTGGAATGATTTGTACGTGTTTAGACTTACGGTATTTTTTTTATATGTTGGACATATAAGTAGGAATTAATTTATAAAAAGTAAAAACGTTCTAAGAAATAATTTGATCCTTTATGTGGAACTTTAATAAAGATTTATTTTCTCGTTAAAACAAAAAATAAATTACTATTTAGTTGTTACAAGCATATAAACTGCATGTAATATTTTTCTCAATACAGAATTAATAGTAAAATTTTGTTATATTTGTGTCCTAAATTTCTTCCTAATTTAAATGTTGCCGCGGGATTATTTTTAGGTAGGTGGTGCCATCTATCCGTTATGAAGTTAATACAAGCCATTAAATGTTAGTTTCCTATCATTCTTAGAAGTACGAAGTATTGTATTATAACTTTTGGCCGCTAGATGGCGGACGTGAAAAATTTAAGAGACGCTTAACTAAATTTTATAAAATAAAAATTGTTTACAATAGGTCTGTTCTAACAAGAGTCAGGGATTGGTTCCGAACCGTTTGAAATGTTTGACCAGCTAAGTTCTAAATGTGTTCAGTGAATATATCGCAAGAATTAGTTGGATGCACATTTCGAACGGTTCGGAACCAATTCCTGACTCCTGTTGGAACAGACCTTATAATGTTCATTTAACTCATTTCACATTTCATAGAACGAAATTTATAAATATAATTGGAATCAATTGCATGTCAGCAATACACAATAAATTCAAAAGCAACGAAAAGTGTCCAGTTATTGGGCGTGTATTAATCTGTTCGAGTACAATTGTACCGAACATCCCCTTCAGTTGTTCTGAACTGTTATTCGAACAAGGTAATATAAAATCGCATATTTTTGTTGATAATCTTTCATTTTAAAGATTTAAAGGTTACATAAAAATATATTATGGCATTGGAAATAAATACAAATACTATTATTACTCTGATTGCCCAAGGTCAACGATTATTTGAAAAAAACGGTAAGGAAAACTAATTTATATTAATGTATCTGTATTTCACTTGATACATCATTTTAGCAACATCAAAAGTGTTGAAGCTTTGGTCTGCAATTCTAGACTAAGACATGAAAAGATTAATAGATATGAAGACGTAATAGATTTTTAATTTAGTAATTTTTAATTTTAGTACTGAACAAGTATGCAACTTATCCCAAATTGCCGAGGAACCAGTACAATGTTCATCTACAGTTCTCAATGTAGATCATACATATTGTACTTTTGAACCTATTTAAAGTTGTAACACTTCTCGATGCTAGGGTTGCCAGATGTCCGGTTTTCGACCGGACAGTTCGGTTTTTTTTATCCCTGTCTGGTTGAAAAATGTTTGGTAAACCGGACAAGCAAATGTCCAGTTTTTTGTTGAATTCATAAAATATCCTGCAATTTGGGAAAAAATGTTTGCCTAAAAACGGTAACAGCGGCAACAGCGCGCGGAAAACGAATTTATTTCGCCGCTGAACTTGTTGCGCAAATCTAACAGGCGACAATGCACTGGATTCGTAGAGTGAAAACTGAAAAAGTCGGCTTCGCTTGATAGTTCCGTAAACTTGTGTACTGCGTTGGTATGACTCATAGCTTATCTCAAAATCCACTACTTATATGGAAGTGTTACAGTTTACAGTAAACGGTAGATATGTGGTGTGTACCTTTTTCAAGAAAGAGGTAGCACCAAATTGTTATTTTTATTATAAATAAACACTCAGACTTCCTTCTCTCTTCTTTATTATCCTTTCAATAACAAGACTATATTTTAACAGTTCAATAAATTTCTATATATCACTTCTTTTATTTTTAATTACAACTACTACCTAGCAACATCTACTGTTTTTATTTCTATACATATTAGATAATGTAACAATGGTAAATATGAGAATATCAATATTGTTCTCAACACAAATTTGTTGAAGCTAGTGCAATATGTTTGCAACATTCCCATATCCAATGCCTTTGTAGAAAGGATATTTAGCGTTATGGGAAATGTTTGGACAAACGAAAGAAATCGTCTCTCCGTAGAAAGCGTAAAATGTGAGCTTTGCGTTTTCTTTAACATAAATAGCACTTGCACTGAATTCAAAAATAACATATCAGGTAATAGAGAGTTTTTGTTAAAAGCAGCGGCATCTAATGCAAAATATATTAAAAAATGAAAAAGATTTTAACGTTATTGACATTTTTTTTACTTAGGTATAAATATTGTTTTGTTTGTTTGTTTGTTTTTCATTGTGGAATAAAAGAATTATTTATTTAATTTGTTTTTTTTTTTTGGAATGCTGTCCGGTTTTTTTTCGAGCACATCTGGCAACCCTACTCGATGCATTCCTCCTCTCGACCTCCTTCACTTAAAAATTTCACATAGGTAGGTGAACATTTACAAGTCTTGATTGAGTTATACCTTTAATAAAATTTGTATTAATCAAATCCTATAGCATTTAACAAAAACGATTATTTATAACTAAAAATTAAAATTAACCATACGAACAAGTAAGCATGTACATTGTATAAGTTAAACTGACAAACTTTTTTAGAAATTTTTAATGAGTATTACAATGTGTTTTTAATTAAGTTATCTTATTGATTTTAGCTCTGAAGTGGAATTGTCTCCTCTAAAATCACCAGTGCAAACACAAACTACCCACATTTTCAGTAACAGGTCACCTCGCAAGAATAAACTACGACAGAAAATAAGGAGTCAACGGGAAGAAATAAGAAAATTAAAAAAAGTTGCTAATCAAGAAGAAATATCAGTGCAACAATTTAAAAGTCTGTGCGAAAAATTTCTTCCAGAAAAATTCTGCAATTTGGCAAAAGCCCAAGTCGACCTAAAAAATATACGTCCCAAAGGTCGTCGTTATACAGAAGAATATAAAGAGTTTGCTTTAACATTATATTTTATGAGTCCTAAAGCATATAAATTTGTACAAAAAAGTTTTATTTTACCTAGTCTTAGGAGTTTGCAAAGAATCACTCACTCGATTAGCTTTAATGTAGGATTAAATGATTTTGTATTTGCTGGTCTTAAATTCAAGATGTCTAATATGACTGACAAAGAAAAAATGTGCACTCTTTGCATCGATGAAATGTCGATTAAGTCAGCGTTATTTTATAATCTTTCGAAAGATGAAATTATTGGATTTCATAATGAGGGCAATGGAAACAAGTTTCTTCCAGCACAGTCAGTGATGGTTCTTATGGCGAAAGGAATTTATAGTAATTTTAAACAGCCTTTAGGATTTTATTTCAGTAATACAACGTGTAAAGGAGAAATTTTACAAAAGATAGTGAAAGATTGTATTTTAAAATTGGATGTGGAGGCTGGCGCTAAAGTAAAAGCCATATTGTAACAGATCAAGGAGCTAATTCTGTTGAACTTGCAAAAAATCTTAATGTAGCTATAGATGAACCTTATTTTTTTATTAATGAGAAGATTTACTACTTTTTGACGTTCCCCATTTATTAAAATCTGTTAGAAATAATTTATTAAAATATAAAATTTGTTTCAACAATGGAAGATCATCCTGGAAGTCCTACAGTTATATGAAGATGACAAAAACAAAACATTACGATTGGTACCAAGACTGACGAATGCTCATGTAAATCCAAATGGTTTTGAAAAAATGCATGTGAAATATGCAGTGCAAGTTTTAAGTGAATCTGTGGCAGTTGGTTTATCAACTTATTTGTCCTTAGGTGCGATGTCTCCAGAAGCTGCTGGTACTGCCCATTTCTTGGAATATTTCGACAAATTATTTGATATGTTCAACTCCCTACGAACAAAAGGTGTAAAGAAACATAATTTATCATTTATTGGTGCTGATTACCAAATTCAATTTGTGGATGAAATGATAGATTTTTTTAAATGAATAAAAATTTTTGACGATTCAAATAGCAATGTCGGCAATAAAATTAATTGTTTTAATGAATGGTGCATGTCCATAAATGCTCTCAAATTTTTATGGTTGGATTTAGAGTCGGGGATGTTCTTTCCTTCTAACAAGACGTCTCAATCAGGACTGTCTTGAGAATATTTTTGGTTCAGTAAGAAGTCAGGGAGGTAACAGCACCAACCCAACTCCACAAAATTTTATATATGCATTTAAAAAATTATTTTCGCTGACTTATTTAGAACATAGCGAGAGTGCTAACTGTGCTGAAAATTTTGATGCAATTTTAACAAAAATTAATACAAGGGTTGTTACAGAAGCATTCCAAGACGAAGTTCCAAATCAAGAGGGACCACTTAAATTTAACTTTACTGATTACCGAGAACTCGACTTAGTGACGGAAAATGTTTGTCTTATGTATGTGGTTATTTATTCCGAAAATGTTTTGGACATTCATGACTGTGAGATGTGCAGAATAGCATCTAGATGTGATACATTGTATTTTTTCCCACTTGAAGGCATATGAAACAAAAAATAAAGATACATTTGGAAATTTAAAAATGCCTGTTCAAAGCTTCATAGATTTTGTAAGGGAAATGGACAATATATTTACAGAAAATTTTGAAAACCTATCAAATTTGCCCCATATCGGCAAGCAACTTCTTCCATTTCAGCCTCCCTGTGCGGATTTTCCCAGTCTATATGTTACAAAATTATTTTGTAGGATGAAAATATTTCATACTCTTAAACATGCCAATAGTCAGATAAAAAATATGCCAAAAAAAATAGAAAACTGATCAATATATTAAGTTTATAAAATTTATATAAGTATAAAAATACACTGTTAGCATAGCTGCAATACAATTAAATTGACTTATAAACAAGACTTTTTGTTTGCTTTATTTTAAAGTCCATATGACACAATCACATTTTTTAACAATTTTTTTTTAAATAATGTGCAAGCATAATTTTTTAATATTTTTTTGACATATTAATATAGAACGTGCTCTAAATTTTCATCAGAAGTGCAGATAGAAATTTTATAAAGAAAATGTAGTAGAATTATTAAAAAAAATGTGATTGTCATGTAGGTTTTAGGCATATTTATTTGTCTAAGCACCCACTATTATGCTACTGTAGCTTTTCTTATTTGATAAAAATTCAGTCCATAAATAAAATTTATATTCACTTATTTAATGCGTTTTATTTATAAAACCCTTATGTTACTTATTTTTAAACTTATTTATTTTTTCATTCAATAATACAATACATAACAGTTCCATAATGGTTCAAAATAGTCCCACAGGTATGTTTTCAACAAATTTTCATTTCATTTCTCTTAAAAGTGAAGTGATCGACTATATTAGATCCAATTCTTACAAATTGTCGCCGCCTCTCAGAGCTGGGTAATTCCTGGTGAAAAAGTAATTAGCAATTACAATTCCCTTTTTTTCCTGTATTTGTAATTGTATTTAAGTACATTTTTTTATTAAAGTAATTTGGAATTGTAATTGCAGCAAAATTGTTATAGGAATTTTAATTTGTAATTATATTATTTGAACTATCGTATTACAAATTACCTCTATAAGTACAAATACTTTTTCCAATTACAATTACTTTTTCTAATAATTATAATTACTTTTAAGATCATGCGTATTACGTAATTGCGTACAGACTTGCAGACTTTTATTATTTCATTTGAGGAAAGCCTTGAGCCTTGTGCCGCGTGAACAATAAAAAGTGATTTGGTGAATTAATCTCAGAATTAACAGAGTACATTTTATTTTATTATAATTATTATTAATTTAGAAAATATACGAAGTAAAAATATGTTGTCTATAGCATCAAGTTTTATAAAAATATATATTATGTATCTATGTGGCGCTCGAAATTGAGGTTCTTTACAGTCACTATAGATTATGTTGTCTTGATCAAGTTTCACCCCTCCTGGTTCGGGCTCCTTGTGTAGTCTCCATGAGAAGATTAAAATCCTGAATGTAGTGAAGTACATGACACAGTGCGTGCTTGTTGCTAATGTGTTTACTAATAGATAATTCGGAAATATCAGGGTTAATATATGGGAGGTAATAGTCCAGAGTACAGGCACCCGTGGAAAGTTGATTACCACATACTTTATAACTCCTGATTAGCATCCTTTTGACGAGTCTACTACACTTTTCATCTGCGACTTTTCTCGATTCCTCCGCTTTTCCACTCGGAAAAGTACAAAAACATGGCAATTTCCCGGGGTCTTGAAAAGTCAAGACCACATCTTTTATTTTTAGCTTAAGTAACTGGAAATTTTGTTGCAAATGCTGATTTAAATTTGTCCGACAGAAATTCTTCCACATTGACGTGTGTCTACCGGTCGAAACATGCCAAAATAACAGGGTATTGAAAATCAATTACCACATATGTAATTTTTAGTAAAATTAATTGTAAATAATTAATTCAGTCAAAAAGTATTATTGTCCGACAAATTTCAAGCCGCGTTTTTTCAGTCCGACAGCTGGAAATCGGAATTTTCACGGGGTATGATATATCGATTACCACATATCGGACAAAAATAACACGCAATAGATAAGTGTTTTTTATAAGCAAAAATTGTAATGTCCGACAAAAATATATCCGCAAATCGTCAGTCCGACAAAACATGATGAAAAAAATTTCGTAAAAAATGTGCACATGTATATATAATTTCTAATAAGGTATTTTCATGTATTAAGCAAAATTCCATATAAATATACAATGCAGGGTGTTTGAGGTGTTTCAGAAAGACCTCCCGTAAATACAGGGGGTGAGGACGACAAAAAATAAGAATTTTTTGGTGTATAAAATAAGTGACTTTTCTCAAAGCTCAAGCTTACTTTGAGAAAAGTCACTTATTTTATAATGTAATATTGTAAGTTTAATTAAAAGCCTTTTTTCTCGAAAATCGTCCACATTAGGAAGTTCTAACAAGAGGACATTATTTTAGAAAATAAAATTGTACAATAGAAATTGGAGTCCGAATGGTAAAAAACCTAACCTTAAAAAAATAGAACTTAAAATGTAATAAGAATGTATTTGGCACCCTTAAAAACCCCAGCTTACCAAATTTCATAAAAATATTTCGCACCGTTTGGAAATTTTCTCGAAAACAAGAGGAGATAGACATATAGTTCATAAGACAAAATTCATCCCTTTCACCCCCTTTATTTACAGGAGGTCTTTATGAAACACCCTGTATATATTTTTCGTTTTATTCTTGTAATTGTAAATCTCTTATGCTCAATTTAGCCAAATAAATATCAAGAAAAGAATTAAACGATTTAAAAAAAAGTATATATGGTGTAAAAAAATTATGCACAAAAGTTTTGGGATTTTCTTTTAGAAAAATAGGAAAATTTTTGTAAAGGAAAATAACAAACGCGAATGAAAACTTGAAAGAGAAAAACGGATTTAGTATAATATTAATTTATTTAGAAATAATGCATTATGCACTAATATAGTATTAATCGTCTCAAAAATAACTTCATTTGTTTATAACTTTTAAATTTTTAAGCATAAAATAAGCAATATTATAATTATTTATTTGAAACAAATAATAATTTACATAATAATAATTAATAACCATTTATAAATAGGAAATTTTTGGAGTGAAAAAATTAAATTTCATCACGGTTATTGATTTATTGATTTTTTAATAATTTGCGAACATTAAATAGTCGGACACTTATATCACTATTTTGGACAGTAAATTTAAAAGTGGAAAAAATGAAAATTAGATATGTGGTAATCGATTTTTCATACCTCGTAAAAATTCCGATTTCCGACTGGAAAAACGCGACTTGAAATTTGTCGGACAATAATACTTTTTGACTGAATTAATTATTTACAATTAATTTTACTAAAAATTACATATGTGGTAATTGATTTTCAATACCCTGTTATTTTGGCATGTTTCGACCGGTAGACACACGTCAATGTTGGAAGAATTTCTGTCGGACAAATTTAAATCAGCATTTGCAACAAAATTTCCAGTTACTTAAGCTAAAAATAAAAGATGTGGTCTTGACTTTTCAAGACCCCGGGAAATTGTCATATTTTTGGACTTTTCCGAGCGGAAAAGCGGAGGAATCGAGGAAAGTTGCAGAGGAAAAATGTGGTAGACTCGTCAAAACGAAGCTCCTCAGGAGTTATAAAGTATGTGGTAATCAACTTTCCAGAGGGGGCCTGTACTGTGGACTATAAGTGTTTTAAATGATTGATAATAGTAATAATAGTTGAGTAAATATGTCACACTCAGCGTTCTAATAGAAAAATAACGTCAATTTAACGTTATTATTTGATGGTTCTTGAAGGGACCATTAGTCCTTACAAGTTCAAATGTCTGTCCATATTTTTCATAACAAAATATGTTTTGTATAAGAAGCACAACCAGTTTTTTTACACAGCTTTTATTTACAGACAAATTGCGACAATTTATTACAAGGAGCAAATGGGATTTTGATAGTCTTGAGAATCTCAGTACTGATGAATTCAGTACTCTAGTTACGGAAATACCTTCTGATGTCGAATTAAACGCCAGCGATTATGTATCTGATGATGACGAAGAGCAAAGTGTCCTAACACTAACTAACCCTAATGAGGAAATTCCAGAACAGAATAAGGTAGTACATGATAACGAAGAGTCATCCCTTGAAAGCAATGAAAGTAGTTCTTCTAATAATAATACTGAAGTTTTTGATGCAGGAATTCTGGATGAAGAAAATATTCCTTTGATAAGTTTTGTACCAGATGTAAAAGAGAAAATCATTTGGCGGCGTAATTTTGCTCCTGCTGCTGTTCTACATTTTGCAGAGGAATATGGGCCTATTTCTGAGTGTGAAATACCGTTAGAAATATTTACACAGCTATTTACAGACAATTTGTTTAAACACTTAGTATTTCAAACAAACCTCTATGCCACGAAATCCAGCAAAACATACTTACCGACCACTAAAGAAGAAATTAAGGCAATCCAACAAAACATACTTACCGACGACTAACAAAGAAATGAAGGCTTTTATTGGTATAAATATTGTGAAGGGATTGAAGCTGCTTCCCAGTTACAAAGACTACTGGTGGTCTATTCTTGAATTTCACGGAGTAGAACTTGTGAGGGAAGTGGGCGTGGTTCTCTTAAAAATGCACAACAGGGTATTCTTGAAAAAATATTTAGGGAGGGAGCTACTCCCAAGAGAATTTAAAGTTCTCCTACTAGAGACTTCCATCACTAGTGTGTGGCTCGCCATTATTCTATGGCTAGAAATTGGCCTCAATGATTTGGGATCGAGGGGGATTATCCCTCTTTATCCTGCCTCATCTCGTGTAGGCCTGGACAGCCTTCGTAGGTGGGCCCCATCCGTCGTCTACCCCGACCGCAAATGCGGCCGGTGTAGGCGCTTTGTGGGACCTCCTTTTGTCCTGGCTGGGCCCCGCCGGCTAGGGCCCTTTCTTCTGGCGCTCTTCTTGCTTCGCCGGCTCGTCTGTGTAAACCCCGGGGGTAGTGTCATGTTTATG